AGCAGGAAATCACAGAAGCAAAGCATCACCGTACTGCCAGCTTTCCTGAGGTCCAGCTTTGCTTTTCCTCTGCTTACCGTGACCTGCTGAAATAGCAGTGAGGAGGCATTTGCTCTCTGATAGATCCCGGCTCCAGCTGCTTCGTTTGCTGCACCTTCTTGCAGCTTGGCTGAGCGCAGGGCTCAGTGCGGCGTGTGCAGGGAGCACGCCCTAGGAAGTCCTTGAGATGTTCTTTGTGTGTTTGCTGCTGGTGTTGTTCTGGCTCGGGAATAAGCCCAGCACAGCAAGAATCCACCCTGCCACCAGCCCAGGTGTGCCCAGCTCCAGCCGCTGCTGGTGCCCGAGTTGGCTGGGTCAAAGCTAACTCAGGTCTCTTATTTTTGCCCCGTTCTTCCCCCCACAACTTGCTGGACTCAGGCAATGATGAGATTAGAGGACTTTGTGCAGGGCTGGACTGGAGCCAGTTTCCCCCCAAGGTGGTCCATGAGCATCACTCTCAGCTGGGGGATGCTTCTCTAAGCCTTGTCCAGCCGTGGTAGGGTGAGGGCAGCATCTTCAGGGTGTTGCTGCTGAAGTCCATGATGGCAGGAGACCAAGGGCAGGGTGACCGTCCCTCAGGCTGATGCCACATCACTCCTCTTGCCCCTTTGTGCCCAGATCAGGTGTCGGGGTGGGTGAGGCCGGACTCACGCCAGGATGATGCGAGGCTGTTGAGGCCAGCAGCTGGGCAAAACAGGGGAGGAGAAACATCTGTTGGCCATCTCAAACCATTTTGATGGATTTTCCATCATCTCCTGTGCCCAGGCGTAATGTGGGAACACGGGGTCTGGTGGGGAAGCCCAGAGGTAACTAAAGGTGGACCACAGCCAGTGCCAGCAGATCTCCTGCTCTATGTTGGTAGGATAGGTCCCCTCACGAGAAGCCACCAATTTGCATTTCTCCTGTAGCATTCTCTGTGGCTTGTTTGGAGGAGGAGTTTAGCTCTAAAAGCAATCATTTTGGGTACGTTAAATGTGGTGTTTTGGTTGCAGTTGTCTAAAACCTGCTATAGGTGAAGAAGGCTCAGAGCAAAGAGCTTCTAGGAACCGTGAATTTGAAAGTTTCCTTTTTGGAAAGGGCTTCTGAATCCTCTGCGTTTGGTGAAAATAATCAATAAAAGTGTGCAAAGTGGTTCATTTCACTTGAGTGGGTGAGATGCAGTGTCCAGAGCAGAGTGGATCCTCAGATTGGGCTTATTTGGATCCAGATGTGACTTTCTGAAGTGTCATGTCTGGTGCTGGCACTCACAGCCGTTCCTCCTCCATCTCACTTCCAGCTGCCTCTGGAAGGCACTTCTGGCCGCATCCTCAGCCAGTTTGCATCATTTCCCAGGTGAACTGGTCCTTAACATCCTTTGCTGTGGCTCTGGCTGGGTTGTGCACGTAGACCCTTTGGGAGCGTGGCCATAGTAGCTGGCAGTTGTGGCTGCGTCGTGTTCTGAGCACACACACGTTGCTTTGTGGAGCCTGGAAGAAGCCTGAGGTCCTCGGCAGGTGCCCAGTCCGGCCATTCACAAGTACTGAGTAACGTCTGGAAGGTGTTTCTCTCAGGGTGAACCATCACTGGTGGTGCCCCAGGATGATGCTTGGCATCACCTCTGCCTCATGCTGATTGTTTCTGTGTCTCTGTTTGTAGGAGCTGAGAGATCTGGCATCCAAACACCCAAACCTGGTTCTTGTGAAGCTGGGTAGGTGCGCTCTGCCTCTGAGCTGGCAAATTTGTGGCTGCCAGCCACACTTGCCC